ATTAATTCAATTTTACAGGTGGGGAACTAAGGAATGAAATCCAGAACTGACTTACCACAAGGTCACAGGGCCAGGACTTGTCTACACTAGGAACGTGCCCCGATTTCACACATCTGCGCAGTAGCATCAGTGCTAACCCCTGGTGTAGACAGGGGAAGCCGCGTCAAGCTATAATTTGCATTTGCGCTCATTTAGCCAGCCGTCACGTTGCACAGATGCAAGTCGCCCTTCAGCCTGGCGTTGCCACACGCGCAGCGGGCATTGAGGCAATTCCCCAATGCAGTTAAGGCCTGATTTTCCCGGCAGAGAAAGGAAGAAAAGCTACTGCTTCTAGTATCTCTAGAGCAGGGGTCGGCAACCTTTCAGAAGTGGTGTGCCGAATCTTCATTTATTCATTGTAACTTAAGGTTTCTCATGCCAGTAATACATAGAAAGAGACCTTCTAAAAACATTAACATAAGTCTATAATATATAACTAAACTATTGTTGTATGTAAAGTAAATAAGGTTTTTAAAATGTTTAAGAAACTTCATTTAAAATTAAATGAAAATGCAGAGCCCCCCGGACTGGTGGCCAGGACCTAGGCAGTGTGAGTGCCACTGAAAATCAGCTCGCGTGCCGCAGGTTGCCTACCCCTGCTCTAGAGATACTAGAAGCAGTAGCTTTTCTTCCTTTCTCTGCCGGGAAAATCAGGCCTTAACTGCATTGGGGAATTGCCTCAATGCCCGCTGCGCGTGTGGCAACGCCAGGCTGAAGGGCGACTTGCATCTGTGCAGCGTGACGGCTGGCTAAATGAGCGCAAATGCAAATTATAGCTTGACGCGGCTTCCCCTGTCTACACCAGGGGTTAGCACTGATGCTACTGCACAGATGTGTGAAATCGGGGCACGTTACTAGTGTAGACAAGTCCTGGCCCTGTGACCTTGGGGTAAGTCAGTTCTAGATTTCAGGCCTTAGTTCCCCAGCTGTAAAATGGAATTAATACTGGGGGTGGGGGTTGTAATGCTTAGTGCTCACCTAGATCTCGGTGAATTATCCAAAGGAGGACATTGTGTAGGCCTTGTCTATGCCAGGAGTGCTTTGCTAGCATAGGTACTAACCCAGCAAAGTGCTCCTAGTGTGTTTGTAAAACCGCACACACTTATAGCTTATTCCAGCCCCTAGAGAGGAATACGCTACCCTGGCAAAAGCGCAGTGTCGCTTCTATAGCTGTATCACCACTAGCACAGGGCTGCCAGCATAGCTTTCTCTGTCAGGGATCTCACTCTTCACGCTGGCAGAAGCCTGTAGTGTAGACACTGTCCCGAGTGCAGGGTATACACTGCAAAGTATTGTCCCATGGGGTCTCATTTTCGACCTTAGACCGGCCATTACTCAGACTCTGTAAGGTTTTGTTTTGTTTAACAGAATCACTTCTTTCTCCTCGTGTTGCTGTTGAGACCAGTTTGTGTTAAAAACAACTTCAACAAAAGCCTGCCAATGTTTAAAAACTTCATTTTCCAGGCTGGCCAAATTCTAAGCAGCCCTGGATCTCAGCCACCACTTGTTTGTTTGGTGTCTCCAGAAATTAGCAGATGGTAGAGACTTAATTCTGTTAAACCTATGGGAATTTAATCACTAACCAGCCTCTAGTTGGGTTTTATGTCTCCTCTCCTGCAAGGGCAGCTGTGATCTGCTAGTAGATGGAGTACCGGACTGCGAGTTAGGTTCTCATTTCAATTTATTGCTTTGT